CACTTAGTCAGATGCTTTTATAACAAAGAAAAAAACTTTGGCAAAGATCATGGAAATATTTCGTAGCTTTAAATTAAAAGTTAAGGGTACTTCTGTTTTAGAGAAAAGCAAAAAGTTTTCTCACTGTTGCTGTTTTCCTCTCGTCTGCCAAACAGTGGTGTTCAAAGCTTTCAAGAAATGCTGAACGTGGTTCCCCGGATGTTGGTGCAGTCCACCAGGTGAATCTGGAGTATCTGTCCAGAGTGGTCAGGTCAAGGGAGGTTCATCTACCCTACAGCGTGGTGGGAACCGACTCCCACACCACGATGATCAACGGCTGGGCAATTCTGGGCTGGGGTAAATCTTTTTTAAAACTTTACAGCTGTTGACATCTTTGGTGTAAACATGTTCAGCCAGTCAAGCTGCTCAGAATTGTAATTTACAAACCGCATCTGATGTTGTTACTCTTCTGAGGTGTGAGGAGAGACAAAATGAAATATAAAGATAGAGAATTAAGAGTGAAGGTAGGGCAGAGCTCATCCTAAGAGGAAATCAAGAAAAGTCTAAATACATTGTGAAAGAGTTGCTATGAAAACCCCTTTCTGTTGATTCACTCCAAACATGTTTGCCGCTTCCTCCACCAGGTGTTGGGGAAATCGAGTCAGAAGCGGTGATGCTGGGCTACCAGTGTCTCTGACTCTTCCTCAGGTGGTGGGCTGTAAACTGGTGGGCTCCATCAACCCCCCTAACACCTCCATAGACGTCGTCAGCTCGCATCACTAAAGGTAACGCTGCTCTGCTGCCTGAATGTGTTATGAGGAATGAACCTGTAAAAAATTTACAACAGGAGGTCTGTGGTAGGAAAGTTTTATTCACTGCAAACTGCAAGAACTGAAAGTAAAGTGAACTGTAAGTGTAACTGTAGAGATGTGTTATTAAAATAAAGAGTAGTGAGTAGTGATGTGTTACGATGCTTGATTTTTCCACCACTTGGCGCAGGCTGGGATCGCTGGAAAGTTTGTAGAGTTTTTGGACTGGCGTCTCCCAGCTCTCCGCCCCTGACCGAACACCCATCGCCAACATGTGCCAGAGTACAACGCCACTGTTAGCTTCTTCCTGTCGACCAAGTCAACACTCAAGCACTTTAAAAAGACAAGTGAGTGCTACCTGCAGAGTTTTTTTCCAGCTACAGAACAGTGCACTGAATCTCACTCCACACTTTTAATGTTGGAGTTATTCTTAGTGAAATACAGCTCAAACGCTCTGCCTTAATTCACCAGTTCTCTTCTTCTAACTGTTACTGCTAACATTTACAAAGAGTCATTTTATTACAATGGTACTGTCTAAGACGAACCATCAAACAGATTATCACCTGATTCAAAATCTAAATCTGACATTCGCTTTTCAGACTTTACCCAGGAGAAACTTGAATTGCTGGAATCTTACATGAAAGGCTGTAAAACTTTTTCGCGATGCTTTGAAGACCCATCAGAAGACCCCCAGTATCTGAGGTAGATTTTTACGCATGAATCCCAGGTATATACTGCCTGGCAGTTGATGCTATATATCTTCTTAGGCTCTGGAATATTTATCTGCAATACGTGAAGTGGCAGTAGAGTATTTCCTCCTGAAGTAGGACATTTTATCATCTTTGTTTGATTAAAAACAGAGAAGAGATGATGCTTTCAACAGTCCTAATATGTTGTTTATGAAAGGAATTTAAATTGTTTTTATAAGTCCAGAAAGTAAGTATATATATAGATATATACACATACAGTATCTCACAAAAGTGAGTACACCCCTCACATTTTTGCAAATATTTTATTATATCTTTTCATGGTGACAACCTATAGAAATGAAACTTTGTAATAACTTAAGTAGTGAGTGTACAGCTTGTATAGCAGTAATAGATTACTGTCCTCTGAAAATAACTAACACACAGCATTAATGTCTAAAGGCTGGCAACACAAGTGAGTACACTCTACAAGTGAACAATGTCTAAATTGTCCCAAACTGTCATATTTTGTGTGTACCACCATTATTATCTAGCATTGCATTAACCCTCTTGGGCATGGAATTCACCAGAGCTGCACAGGCTTGCTGCTGGAATCCTCTTCCACCTCTCCATGATGACATCACGGAGCTGGTGATGTTAGACACCTTGCGCTCCTCCACCTTCCGCGTGAGGATGCCCACAGGCGCTCAATTGGGTTTAGGTCTTGGAGACATACTTGCAGTCCAATCCACCTTTACCTTCAGCTTCCTCAGCAACGGCAGTTGTCATCTTGGAGTGTTGTTGCGAGTCGTTATCATGTTGGAAAACTGCCCTGCCCAACTGCCCTTGTGTTTACTTAAATTTAAAGTTTCCGGAGGAGGGGATCATGCTGTGCTTCAGAATGACACAGTACATGTTGGAATTCATGTTTCCCTCAATGAACTGCAGCCTCCCGTGTCCGGCAGCACTCATGGAGCCCCAGACCACGACAGCTACCACCACCATGCCTTGACTGTAGGCAAGAAACACAGTTGTCTTTGGTACTGCCTCACCAGGGTGCCGCCACACACGCTTGACCATCTGAGCCAAACAAGGTTGATCTTGGTCTAGTCAGACCAACAGGACATGGTGCCAGTAAGTCCATGTTCTTGGACTTGACTTGTCTCAGCAAACTGTTTGCAGGCTTCTTGTGCATCGCTTCAGAAAGAAGCTTCCTTCTGGGACGACGGAAACATGCAGACGATTTGATGCAGTGATGAGGCGTATGTGTCTAGCCTGACATGGCTTGACCCCCCCACTCTTCAACTCTCTTGCACAAATCAGCAGCACTCATTCGTCTTTTTTTGAACCAACCTCTGGATATGACGCTGAACACGTGGACTCAACTTCTTTGTCGGACCCTGGCGAGGCCTGTTCCGAGTGGAACTGTCCTGGAAAACCGCTGCTATGATCTTGGCCACGTGCTGTAGCTCTGTTTTGGTAGTTAGCAAATCTTATTAATGGCCTAGGCCATCTTTATAAAGAGCAACCAATTCCACTTTTTTCAGAGAGTTTCTTTTGCCGGAGGCGCCATGATGCAATATTCCAGTGACCAGTATGAGAGAGAAACACCAAATTTTAACCAGGCCCTGCTCCAATTCACACCTGAAACTTTGTAACATAACTGAGTCAAATGACACCAGGGGGGGACAACGACACAATTGGGTCACAATTTGGACATGTTCACTGAGAGGCTGTATCAACTTTGTGTGTTGCCAGCTGTTTAGACATTCAATGGCTGGTGTTGAGTTATTTT